TGAAATCAAAAGATAACGTTAACAAAATACAGGTTTGTTTTATACTACAATTACAACTACATTATTTTAATTTTGTTTTATTATCACTACTCCTTGTATCCCATTCGTTACGACGCTTCAAATCATTCTCTGTTTGGTAGGTTAATCATGTATGTTATCTATCAGACTCACTGATATGTAATCTGTTATAACAAGTATCTAAACTACCTTGGCTTGTTGCCAAAACAGGGTACATGGGGGGCCAAACCGGTTGAGCATAGAGAAAAGTTGTGGTGAGCCATTGAAGACCTAGAGAAAAAGAAAAGCACTTGAGTCCTCAGAGAAACAATCAGAGACATTTCTCATTATCTTACTGTAATTAAGTTGTTATAAATGAATATTTTATAAACATTTTTAGATGTGGAAGCTTCGAAATTGTGGTCTCAGCAAAACTGTTTGTGAAACTTTACACAAGCATAATAAAATTATTTATAAAACTCATATTATGAAATATGAATAAATGTCTAATAGTTATTTTACTTGAGATGAAAATTATCGTCGTCTTTATCTAAAACTACACCAACCAGTGGAAGTGTTGGTGATACGTGATGAGGACGTGACTTAATATATATAATATTTCCTATATATTTAGGAAACGATTTGGGAGATGTAAAAGATGAGTAAATCAGAATAGAATTAGATGTTCATTGATTAGTGAGTTTGTTAGTTGGTTTGTCTGTCAGTTCCGTGAGCACAGAGTTTGTTTTGACTAAGAAATAGAAATACTAAAAGCACTGTAACTACTAAAAATTGGCAAATAAGAGACTGTTTAACTTTATGTGTGAAGTTATACTTATCGTTAGTTACACGGATCTTGTAGTCGAAACAATGAAATGTTTTCGTTACCGTTTACTGAAATGCATTTAAAGTCCTTCTTTGGACAAGATTCACCAAACAATAAAAAAAAATTAAACATATTGTAGGAGTGGTATTATTTGAGTAAAAAATAAAATAGAATCAAGAACAAATTTCAAAATGATAACAAGTGCTCAAAGCAAGATCGAAAATTTATTGGAAGTGATGAAACAGTGGAAAGAAATCCAAGAAGAAAACATCTAAAAATATGAAGAATGACAAGAACAGCGAACGGAGAGTAAGAAGAAAGAGACAGGAGATTAAAAGAAGATCAAAATAAAGAGACAAACAGCTGAAAGAAGATCAATACAACGAATAGAGAGGAAGTTAATGTGAAAAGTAGTAGAAAGAGACATAAAATTTACGGAAAAATTGCGATCAGAAACCAGTTTGATCGGTTTGATTTGATTTGTTTGAAGTTAAGCACAAAGCTACGCAATGGACTATCTGTGCTCTGCCCACCACGGGTATCGAAACCCGGTTTCTAGCGTTGTAAGTCCGCAGACATACCGCTGTGCCACTGGGGGCAGTTTGATCGGAGGTAATATTGAGGAAACTATAGAAATACAGAAAGATTATAATAAAAAATTCGAAGAAGTGGAAAAGGAAATCACTCAAATTAAAAAGAAAAGTAAAACAAAAGACACCAATGAAGTATAGAAGGAGTATAACAACAAGATCATCAGAGAACAAAAGAATATCAATATCTGGATAAAACATTTGCAAGATAAACTGGCAAGAGTCAACACAGCTACACTTCTCTCTGCATATGCTCAAGAATTCCAACCACAAAAAAAAAAAATATTAGCTATATAATATAGAATAGAAGAACCCACCTGTTACCACTACTTTTGTGCCACTTATGACTGCTGAACCTTCTTGGACTACTCTAGAAAAATCCCTGCTTCATCAAGTTAAAAAGTTTAACAAACCAATTCAATAACATCGCTCAACTTAGAAACCTTCAAACTGTGGTAGAAAGGTACCGTGTAAGGCATATCAAGCACAAATTGAAATGATTTCCAAAGTGAATGGACGTAATAGTGTAGAAAAATTTCTTTATTTGGCTGCACCGTTAAACAACTATTAACTTTGTAAGAGAGTGCTGTAACAACTGCCAGACGTTAGTGGCTGCCTTATCGAACGGATATGGAGTTTCTAAAGCAAAACTTAAAAACAGAGTAAGGTGGAGAAGTATAAGACCTTGGCCGAACTTATAGATGATGTAGAAAGGCTTGCCTAATTATCACCCAACTAACCAGAGCCAATATTCTACCATGGTCAGATTTAGGTTGTAAGATATAATTTTCAATTACATAAACATGTGTGTGTGAAGAAAGCTAAAACCAACAGAGGATATGACCTCTATATCCTCATGGACAGTCTAACCCTGTACAGATGTTCCATGAGAGGTAACGACTTGTTGGTATGTATCCAATTCATTGGTGCCATAACAGACTTAGATTAGTAAATTAGGCTAAAGAAAAGTAGGTGTAGATGCTGTCCAGTTGGCGATATAACTTGAATTGATTAAGATTGCAAAATTTCAATTGTAACACAAAAGGACATATTGCTAAGAATTGCAATTCAAGAAATAGAAACTGCTCCAAGAGGATAACAGGAAAAGGAAACTGCTACAAGTGTCAAAAACGTGGACTTTGCATCCGAGACTGTGATGAACCAACGATTTATAATAAATCCATGAGGCGATAGTCTGAAGACGAAAATATTCCATCTTTCCCAATGGAGATAAAGGTTGCTTCTGAAAGAAAGTAACCAATAAGCCAGTGGATACACTAATGATAAACCTTGCAAAATATTGATAGACTTCGGTTCCACAGCTAACATCGTTTGACATAATTTGGCGATGAAAGCTGGGGCATGCCTCCAGAGATGGAGCAATAAAATGGTTTGATGCAAGCAACAAATAATTATACAATTACCATCAAGAGGAAAATTGTATGTCACACACACTGTGGGAAGATTTTGAACAGGGCATGATGTACGGATTATTGACATTTAATGCGAATGCATATTAAGAATAGACTTCATATAAATATAAATGTGAGGTTAGACATACTTCAAAGAGTTCACAGTTTATGGCCAGAAAATCCTTGTCTACTAGATGACAATTACATCACCAAAAACTGAATTTCCAGTTACAAGAAGGATTGAAGCAAATGCCAATAAAGACAATCTACTTAAAATGCGTCAGAGTAGAATCCAGAAAGACAGGTGGTCCAAGCCACAGGTCACCCATTTTAATCATCTTTGGAAGCACATTGACGGGACAACTACCAAATGTTTAGCTTTTAAAATAATATAAGTCAACCTGCTTAAGAAGCCAGAGCTTCTCGTCGATACAACTTCCAAAATATTACCAATTATGAAACCACCATTGGATTATCTGGACCAAAGATAATTCCTCCAGCGTCAAGACAGCCATGGTAAATAAAATCACCAACAACTTGTGACTGGACAGTTTAGAAACATTAAATGAGTAAAGAAAGGCGATTTTGTTTTTTAATCAAAAGTGGTTTTACATTAGTTAACTCAACAAATGTTTTAATATTTTAATGTCTATTTTTGAATACTAATGTTATTAATTGCGAGGAGTTATTTGATAGTTAATTATGGAAGTTTAAGTTTAATGTGCTCTTGTTTTCTTTCTGTAATAGGATTGTTCAAGAGACTCCACAGTCTTGGAAAGTGGCATTGTTATAGGCTATTTTTATATTTATTTATATGTTTGTATTGTTGTTTTGCCAGAAGGAGTGTTGATGACTCGTGATAGATGTGTGGCTTAATAATTATACTTTTCTTGGAAGTATAGAGCGCTATTTGAACGTTATAAAATTCCATTTAGGCTAAATTAGAATTGATTGACTAGTGTATCTATTACAGTAGTTGATTGATTATTGAGTTAGCTAGCTTGTTGTTAGGCTTGTTTGTTATTTCAATTTAGTAAACATTGAGCTTACGTTTCGATGAAAATCTATAAACAGTACACAACTGTTTAGCGTTATTTGTGAAAGTAGGCCTGTCATCAGCTGAGTGGAACTGAAACAAGGTTGCACTTGAAGAATTTGTAGTCGAAGAAATAAAAAATTTTTGTTATCATTAAGAATAGTGGAATTTCTATTTTATTTTCGTGTGATAATCCAAAATAACCTACTCAACAACAGAAACTATTGTAACAATATAATAGTAGACAATGTCATTTTAAAAGTAACTAAAATATGTAGTTAATTAAGTATGATAGAAACAAAAATAATATCCTTATAATTTTGAGCAACACAGTCTTTCATTTTTGGTTGTTTTATTAGAGGGTAAAATATTTATATGATAGTGTTTTTTTTTTCTATTCGGGTTATTAAAGTATTATGGCAATTACAAATAAAATGTCTTTAGAAACCAACAAGGTGGAAAAATTCATTGAACTTATAAAAACAAAACAAAATGTTCTGAAATTATAAGCCAAGTTATATTCCAATCCAACTTTTTTCTAGTAGTGAAAATGTTTGTTTTTGTTTATGTGATTTCAAAATTGCACAATGGGTTGTATGTTGTTTGCCCAACACAGGGATCAAGCCTAGCTAAATACCTTATTGCAGAGTCGTCGATAGGGGGCTGTTGTAAGGAAGATCAGCGGCTGTAAATAATTTTAAGCACACATGAAATTAACAGATAAAAAAATGTATACAACTGGTTAAACTCACACATATATAAGTGATAGCAGCAATAATTATATTTTTGCATCATAAATATTTACTTAGCCAATTTTGTCATAACAAATACTTTTAATCATTAGACAACAGTATGATACATGACGTTTTAATTTAACAAAAAGAGTTTATAGTAGGACAAAATTTTAAAGTTAATCAGTTTGATTTCTTGTTTATTTTACATTTCGTCCAATTCAATTTCACGAAAATCGTCGAAAGGATTTTGTCCTCCAGCCAAACAGAACAACACTATGTACTCGTTAGTACCCACTCATTTAACTCGGGACACGGGTCAATGACATCAGGAAATGACCAGTGTCAGTTCTCTTGGTGGTTGTACATGAAATAAGTTTTAGTACATAAACGTCGTTCAGTTCTGTAATGACCATGATCACACGGTTACTCTTGTTCATGTTTGTGTTCAGTTTTGGAGGAAGCATTCCTATTAAAGAAAAAGGTAACTAAATTTTCTCTTGTTTCTTTGTCACAAACTAATTTCGTCATTCCTATTAACGAAAAAGGTAACTAAATTTTCTCTTGTTTCTTTGTCACAAACTAATTTCGTCATTCCTATTAACGAAAAAGGTAACTAAATTTTCTCTTGTTT